AGAACTAATGAGCCAAAATCTATATTCAAATCTACAGTCGATAAATTGGTTGAAGGATCTTTTAACAATATATTTTCTTCATTATTTTTATCATCATCATCATCATCATCACTATATTCATCACTACTTTCGGAAGGTAATTGTAGCGTTACCTTTTTTCTACTATTTTGTTGCTGATTACCTTTATCTCCTGACTTACTTTTTAATTGAACAAAGGAGTTATTATTTTTAGTACTATTTTTATTATATTTAACTGCTACAATATTTTCTTCTTTATCATCACCATCATCGTCAACGTCATCGTCATCGTCATCGTCATCGTCATCGTCATCGTCCTCCTCGCTATCTGATGGAAGTTGTGCTGTTCTTTTATCCTTTGCTTTTTTGGGTTCTTTAAATGAAACGCTTCTTTTAGGCTTTGAATTTTTTTCCAACGCTGATGGTGATGGTACTAACGTTGACGTTTCTTTAGTTGTAGTATTATTGGGATCATAAGTTAAAAAACTGTAATCTGTAGCTTCAAGTGTTTCCATTCTTTTTTATAAAAAAAATTAATAATGTAAAATATTGGTAGAAATAATAATGTAAAATATTGGTAGTAATAATAATTTAATTAGTTGTCTGATGTGAAATAATTTCTAAATATATAATAAATAATTTTTAGATTAGGTTGGATGAATGAATAAATAGTTTTGTTTCTTTAAATTCTTCATTTCTTGATATGTATGTGCACAGAGAGGCATTCATTTTACCGACAACCCGGGGTTATATTTAACTTCCACATAATCAAACAACTAATAAAATGCTAAAATGGCGCGCCGCGTGTTGTCGGCAAGGATGGAGAGTTTTTCTAGGAAAAACCGTACACGAGGATTATAAAATTTTTTTGAAAACAACTGATTAAATTATTACACGAAAAATTTTTAACCCCCAAAATTTAGGATTGTAATAATAATAATAATAATAATAATAATAATAATAATAATAATAATAATAATAATAATAATAATAATAATGTAATTGGGCATCTATGCACCTTATATTTATATATTTTTTCTTTATTTTTTACCGCATCAATAAAGCAAGCCCTGGTGGCTCGATTTCACATATAATTGTGTTTACTTTTACTTTTTTATACTGTGGGTAAATGTTCTATTATTGATAAAATACTATGCTTCGGAAGAAATAATGAAATTTTTAAAATGCTTTGCTAAAATTATATGGGACATACTGCAACAAAACCAAACAAAGTGAACATATGTGTTACCAAGGATTTCAGGGATCAAATTTAGTCATCACTATCACTAATGTAACATGATCATGATATTCATCTAGACAAAAATAGCTAATATGAAACTCATTTACATTAGGTCTACCATGGAATCCAAAAATTACAGCACCATTAGAAGTATTTTGAAAAAAGAACAAGGTGAAAAAATTGCTCCTTATATTTTCAAAATAAATGATACTCAGACACTAGAAGCTTATCTAAGAAAAGAAAAGATTACATATGAAATTTATCAAGAGGAAAAAAAAACAAAAAACAATAAAA